AATTCAAGGTTTGCAAACCACGCGCTGTGTACATCCTGTTTAAAGAAAAGTACGTTTTTGCCTACGATTTGAGGAAAAAGTCACCTCGTTCTCATAAAATATTGTAGAAGATGTGGACCTTGCTGTAAACGTTAGAGGCAGCATTAATAAATAGACAGATACGATGTATTATGAATGGGCGCTTTACAATCGAAAAAATGTCATAATTAGAACTTTTTCTAAAGCCGAATGATATCCTTCCTTTAAAAATAACATTTAAAGAAGGCGTAAGTTGCTACCAAAGGAGTACAAGAAAGAATTTATTCGTGTAGCTTTTCCATTCAATATATTTGAATTTATAAATGCAGTCATGGCTTCTTATGTATCCAACTAAAGGACTTGGAAATACGCTACAAGATAATCAGTTGTTCAACCTTATTCAATGCCGATCAGCTAGGGAGTATCAATATTCCGCAAATGTCGGCAAGTAGCACGAATTCGGAGCCATTTCTAGGTCTCGTACAGATGTTCGCGTGCGCACGACCTGAAATGATAACTAATTCGGAGAAATCTATAAATATTAATCAATACGCGCCGCACCCAGCCGCCCACTCACCCAGCAAAACTCTCTACTGGGCATGCAGCGGCAAATGCAGGTGCAACGTATGTCAGTTAAACGCTAACAACGTGCTCAGGTGACTCACTGCCACGGTGGATACGTGCCTGTAGGTGTAGAAACAGTTCACACAGGCGATGCAGCGATGCGCACACACTGCAGCAAGCAAGTCTTAGAACAAGACTCCAAAAGATTTCACGATCCAAACGCGTACCTACGCATATACGAGGACCGCCTGCGGTATCTCGTTAGGTAATCACCACGTGTACCACGGCAAACTAATTCTGCCTGTAAAAACAATGAATGAGCGGCCTACAGTAACTGTTGTCAGCTGATTATTAGAAGCACTGATTGCAGGCTGTTAAACGCTAACACAGAAAACTAGAATAGCAAAGTTGTACACCCATGTGCGCTAACTTTCTGGTTGCTTCTCTGTTCAATTAAGCTTTTTCTCCTATAGAAATGAAATATGTTTACGCATTTGAAAATATCTTCCCCCTCCTCTAACCTCTCACCATGCACCCACACCTAAGAGTAATTGTTCAAACTCTATTCACTTATCAAGTATCACTCTTCTAGGTCGATACTTAATTGGATAGTTAATTTATCTTATTAATAGGCAATGACCGTTTGCAGTTGAATAAGAGGTCGCGAAATTGTATGATGTCAATAAATTCTGCTAGTCCCGTGACCTTTGTCTTACTCATTAGTATCACTATAATCATTTATGGTACTTCAAACTAGGCAGCAATAACGTACAGCGGAGGGAAGAAGATAAAACGAACTTAAGGAGTTGGCCTTAGTTACTAACATAGGGTCATTAGTATTTCCCTGTCCATAGTTGTATAACGTACTTGTCACTGCGTTTCGATGATTCCTCATTCGCAGGTATGGAGATCACACAATTTTTAAGGTGATAAGACACTTTCTTTGGGTGGAGAAGCAAACTAAAAAAAATTAGTGATATACGGAAGACATTATATACTGAAATCTTCGTACGAGTATGTTTAACTGTCCCAACTACGAAAAACCTTTTGCAACTTCCCTTAACACAGGGGTCCTCGACTTCCTGGTAAACGGAATTTTGGATCAGGCTGGAGGAACCGTTATGGTAAATGCAACTGCCACATCCAACTTCAGAAAAAAGAATTATCTTGAAAACCGCAGGTGAAACCAACAGCTCTAGCTTGAAACGCATTAACTATTACGTAAACAAAAGAACACGAAGATGTTAATAGAGGTAAGAAATGGTTTTTGAGCTGTTAGTACGACACGTAACCTTGGGCTGAATTCCAAAAAACTGATAATTTCTCGTGTCCTAACCGTATTAAAAACCTGAACCAAAACCACAATTCTAAGACTAAACATAAATCTAGTCCTACTGAGAAGAAGATGACTCGATCGTTGGGACAATACTTCCATTCGCCTGACGTTTCGAGATCCGTCGCCGATACGTCATCAGAGACATAGTCATAGAGCAGTAGCTTCTCAAGCAGCCCTGGAGGGATGCAAAGCGGTATACTGGCGGCGGCAGTCCCTTGTGTGTGTACCTGTGTATATCGCGGCCATTGCT